ACAGTATGAAGGGTCTCTTAGGTTCAAGGCACTATGTTCCATAGTGTTCCCTGGGGGAGACAAAAATAAATACGACACCAGCTCTGCCCTCATGGTCATAATGGTGACCTTGAGTCATCAAGAAAAGGTTACATTATGCTCCATATGCTCTGTTTCCCAAGATAGGAAGTATATAACACGTTAGAAATATTTCCTTCAAAAATATTGAAAATAAAAAAAGATTTCAGCATTTAAGTCATTACACTTGGGCACCCAGAGAAATCCTGTCTTGGCAACAGATTGAATATGGAAGGTGGAAGAGTGAGAAAAGAATTCAGAATCAATGAAGTTATGAACTTCAGTGGCTTCGAGAATGGTGATGTCCTCAATAGACACAGGGAAGTTTAGGGAAAGGTTAGATTTTGTGGTTGGGTGGTCAGATCTCTTTTTGGACATGTTGATTTTGAGACATCCACAGGACATCCAGGACACATCCAACAGGCAGCTGGGAAAGAAGTATACATATGGAGATTTTGGAGTCATCTGTTTCAAGAAAAAAGTGAATCTATGGGATCAGGTCAGATCACTCAGAGAGATTAGAGAAAGGAAAAACCCCATCACTCCTTCTAACTTCCCTACTGTGCCAAGGTTACCACCATGCTTCTAATCAACACTTATCCCAACCTCCAAGTTTCATAACCTCCGAGTCATCCTGGAGTCTACACTCTCTTTTATGTCCAATTCAGAGCAGTCACTGAGACATGTCTAATCTATCTCCAAGACTTCTCTTACATTCATTCCATTCTCTCTATGCCCCCACCCATCACTTCGTTCAAGACTTTTTCACTTCTCACCTGACTACTGCCCTTGGTGGCACAGTCAGTAGAGTACTAGGCATGGAGTCAGGAAAACTTGAGTTCAAATCCAGCTTCAGACATTTATAATATGTGTGTCGTTTGCCTCCTGCCTGCTTCAGTTTCCTCAGCTATAAAATGGTGATAATAATAGCACCTACCAGCCAAGGTGCTTGTGAAAATCAAATGAGATAAGATTTGTAAAGCATTTAGTATAGTTTCTGGCATATAGTGGGCATTTAATTAATGTTTGTTCCCTTCTCTTCCCTCATAATTCTTCTCCCTGGATCCAGCCTTTTCCTTCTCTAAGATGCCAAAATGGTGATCATCTAAGGGACAGATCTGACCATGGCACCCTCCATTCGTGGAACCTCAACAACTTATTTTCTCTATGATAAAATACGAATTCCTCTGACATTTAAAGCCCTTCACAATCTAGCTGCAAGCTCTCTTTCCAGACTGATTTCATATCACTCCCCCTCCCGTACTTTATGCACCAGCTGAACTGGCCTACTTGTGGTTTCCTGAACATGACATTCCATTGCCTGGCTCTGTGCCTGTGCCAAGAGTCCCCTTCCTCTTCATTTTTTTTCCTCTCCTACAAATCCCTAGGTCCCTTCAGGGCTTAGTTCAGGTGCTTCTTCCCTCACAAACCATAGACATCATTGCTCTTCGATCCCTCTGAAATGTGTTTATATTTAATTTGCTTATTGTTTATATTTATTTATGCATATATTGTTTCCCAGTAGAAAGTAAGCTTTTTGAGGACAGGGACTATTTTATTTTATTTTTGGTTGTGGAATACCCAGCATCTAGTGTCCAGTATATGATAGCCATGTAAATGTTCAAGGTAAGGCTTAAGTTAGAGACTTGTAAGGTACCCATGCTAAGGATGGGTAGTTTCTGATGGCAAACAAAATTCAATCTGAGTACAGACCCAAGCAGATCACCCTGATGAAGAGCCATGGGCTGCCAGGGGGATGTATGAAACTGGAAACTTAGAGAAGCAGGTGCTGAAGGTATAATTTTTTCTTTGAAATGTGCCTGCCTGTAAAATTAATAAGTAACTACGGCTGCTCTTTGGGAAGACTTGTAACTTATGGAAGGTGATGAATCCCACCCTACAACAGCGATTGGCAATCAAAAAGCCAGGCACTGTGCCAAGTGCTGGCAATACAAAGAAAGACAAAAATCTGCCTTTGAGAAACTCATATTCTGAAGGGGAGAGAGCATGTAAACAACTACATTCACACATGATTGATATGGCGTAAGTGGAAGATGAAATTAGAGGAAAGGAAATATAATGGGGGATGAGAGAGATGGCAAGAGTGGGAAAAGCCTCCTGCAGAAGATGGGATTTCACCTGGGTTGTGAAAGAAACCAGGAAATCGAGGAGGTAAACAGGAGGGGAAAAACATTCCAAGCTTGGTAGGGGAACTGGAAATGGAGGTGTGGAGACAGGAGATAGTATGTTGTCCTGTGAGAGGAATAGCAAATGGATGAGGGGTAGCTGGATCATTAGAGTATAGACAGGGGAATAAAGTAAAAGAAGACTGGAAAGGTAGGAAAAGGCTAGGTTGTTAAGGACTTTGGGTGCCAATCACAGGAGTTTATTTTTGATCCCAGAGGTAATATGGAGCCCCTGGAGCCACCCCAGTAAACAGTCATCTGGTCACTGACTGGAGAATTCCAGTGAGGTTTCCCAATTGATAAATGGTTAAAGGGTATGAACAGGAACTTTTCAGATGAAGAAATCAAAGCTATCTCTAGGCATATGAAGAAGTACTCTAAATCACTTTTTATCAGAGAAATGCAGATTAAAACAACTCTGAGGTACTACCTCATACCTATCAGATTGGCTAATATGACAGAAAAGGAAAATGATAAATGTTGGAGAGGATGTGGGAAAATTGGGGCACTAATGCACTGTTGGTGGAGTTGTGAACTGATCCAAACATTCTGGAGAGCAATTTGGAACTATGCCCAAAGGGCAACCAAAGTGTGCTTACCCTTCGATCCAGCAATACTACTACTATCTCTGTATCCCAAAGAGATCACAAGAAAAGGGGAAAGGTCCTACATGTGCAAAAATATTTATTGAAGCCCTTTTTGTGGTGGCAAAATATTGGAAATTGAGGGGATGCCCATGAATTGGGGAATGGCTGAACAATCTATGGTATATAAATATAATGGAATACTATTGTGCAATAAGAAATGATGAACAGGCAGATTTCAGAAAAATCTGGAAAGACTTGTATGAATTGATACAAAGTGAAATGAGCAGAATCAGGAAAACACTGTACATAGTATCAGTAACATTGTGTGATGATCAACTATGAATGAACTTCTCAGCAACACAATGATCCAAGACAAGTACAAAGGACTCATGAAGGAAAATGGTGTCCATATCCAGATAAAGAACTGATGGACTCTGAATGCAGATCAAAGCACATTTTTTTCACTTACTTTATTCTTTTTCGTGTTTTTTTGATCTGTTTCTTCTTTCAAAACTGTGACTAATATGGAAATATGTTTTACATGATTGCCTATATGTATACATGTATACACATGTATTACATGTGTAACCTATATCAGATTGCTTGCTGTCTTGGGGGAGGGGGAGAGAGGGAGGAAGAAAAATTTGGAACTCAAAATCATGTAAAAATGAATGCTAAAAATTGTTTTGACATTGTAAAAAAATTAAAAAAAATACTATTAAAAAAAAGAATTCCAGTGAGAAGGAACCCACTGCCTCTTGCAACTTCCTGTTTCATTTTTTAATAACTCCAATTATTATGAAATTTTTTCTTATCTTGAGCCTAAATCAATCCTTCAGTAATTTCCATCCCATGGTTCCTAGATCAGCCTTGTAGCAGAACAAGCTTAATTCCTCTTCTACAGAATAGCCTTTCAAATACTTAGAAATATCAATCACGTCCCACCTCCATAATATCTCTTTTCTAGACCAAACAATACAGTTTTTTCAATTGATCCCCATGGGGAAGAAATATGAGGCTCTTTACCTTTCTGGTCTCATTCTATGGGATATGTACCACTTTATTGCTCTTCTTCCTTAAGTATAGCACCCAGAAATGAACACAACATTCCAGATGAGGTCTGACCAGAGCAGAGTGGGACAATTGCCTCTTACTTCCTTAATGCTACGCTTCTTCCATATCTGTCTCTCTATTTCTCTATCTATGTCTATCTACAAGTAGATACAGATAGATAGACAGACAGACACAACATATGCACATGTCCTTCTGCTGGGTAGCTCACAGAACTTAAATAGTCTCAACTCTAGCCCGCTATACAAGATTAACAGAAACAGCAAAGACAAATGTAATGTTCTGGTCAGACCCTCTTCCCGGACCTTCTCTAGCCAGGCAGGATCTACATCCTATACAGAGTAGCAGCATTAGCTGAAGAAAAAGTCAGGAAACTCCTGTTAATGGTGACAGCCTGCAATGGATATTCCACCAACATTGGTTGGTTTCTTTTCTCTCCTTCAAACCATGTAGCCATTTCAAAATGCCAACAGTGAAAAACCGTTGCAGTTCTGGTTTTTTTTTTTTTCTGTTTTATCAGTCTCAGCCCTCTTTGTAAAGCCACATTCCAGGTCCTTTGTGCCCTGACCCAACAAGGCAGCCATGGATGATTAGGGATGTTTTCAGGGAAGGGTAAGAAAGCCACGGATAGCATGGTAGAATTCCTGCTACCATTGGAATGGAATACTTTTACACCAAGACTAGATATATTCTGTCACTCAAGGAGTCAAGCTTATTATGCCACTTGAAATCAAGACAGGCCTTGAAATGGAGTCCATTACTTTGCTTAATTTGATCAAATGTGATTGAGAGGAGGGGACAAATGAGGGACATGGACTGAAAGCAATTAAAAAAAAACTAGCCCCTTGTTCTTTACTTTGTTTCTCCTGAGTGAAGCCCCTTGTTGGAGTTGCTTGGAGGAAGAAAAAGGAGCCATGGTTTTGGAGAGCTGCACTTCTAAACAAATCCATTTAAATGCGAAGCACTCAGTTCCTTGCTTCAGTGGCTCTGACCTAATAAGACCACTAGTCAGACAGAAATCAAAGCACATGGCTTCATTACAACAACAAACTCCTGGGGATCACAGTGACACAAACAGGGGGGCCAATTAAACATGTACCTGACACTCCGAGAGCCTTCTCCTTCAGACCTGCAAGGAAACAGAACATAGAGACACTTAGAATGCTGTTGACACTTTCTCTTGAAAAAATGCACAGATTATGATCATCAACAGTGAATGACTGAGCTATTCTGATCAATACAGTGATCCAAGACAGTTCTGAAAGACCCATGATGAAAAATGCTATCCACCTCTAGAGAGAGAACTAATGGAATCTGAATGCAGATTGTTGGTTTTTTTTTACTTTATTGGGTTGTTGGTTTTTTTTACTTTATTTTTCTTGGTTTTATTGTCTTTTTTCCCCCAACATGACTAATATGGAAATATGTTGTGCATGACTGCACATGTATAACCTTTATCAAATTGCTTGCTTTCTCAGTGAGGGGGGAGGAGAGGGAGGTTGGAAGAGAATTTGGAACTCAAAATTGTAAAAAGCAAAGGTTAAAAATGTTTTTTTTTTACATGGGATTGGAAAAAATAAAATATTAAAATAGATTAGGGGAAAAAAAAGAAAAAATGCAGACATTCATCCTCTCTATCGAGAACTACAACATTCCTATGCTGGTGGGAAAGGGGAGGTGAGGGGAAGGAGTGAGGAAATGAAGGGTAGCTTCATTTATTACCTATTTGGTATTTCTCAAGCATTTCCGAACTGTAAGTTCAATTTTCAAATACCAAAAAATCAATTACACCATTTTAAAAAGAAGACAGCTGCAAAAGTCAAGAAATAGGATTGTTATCACCCACTTGAACTTTCTCAAAGGCTGGGGAAAATACACAGAAACAAAGATGAAGACTTCACATTCTGCAAACCAAACTATATGCTCTCAGTACTGACCGCACCAGAGGCAAGAGGATTAGTTTAATGGTGATTAGCCTTCCTTCGCTCAGTTGACTGGATTAAAAGGCCATGTGCAAACAGGTTCAGGAATCTAATCCTTGGATTTTCTAAATGTGAGTTTATTGCCAAATACAAACATACTTAAGCCAGAGTTGGGTAATTAAAAGAGTCCTCTGTGGCTGGAAATCATGCCATAGGAAGCTCAGTTGAAGGAACTGTTTATATTTATAGTAGAAAAGAGAAGACATGCTGGCCATCTTCAAGTATTGGAAGTAAAATGTGGAGGGATTTGGGATTCATTTTATTCTGTTTGACAAGAAGGCAGAGCCTTGGAGCAAATGGCCAAAGTTGCAGAGAGGCAGATTTCCATTCAACAGAAGGAAACCCCTTCTAATAATTAGAGCTGCTAGTAAATATTTAACAACCAGATTTCAAAAAAAATGTGTGGCATACTTTCAAGTTGAATTTTCATTATTATAACTTTCTCCATCACTTTCTTAAGTATTGAAAATCAACAAAACGATAAATCAAGCTTTGGTTTGTAGCATTTCTCATTTCTAAGGTGTAAATGCTCACACTGAAAATTCAACAATCATTTCTGAGTCCCCCCAGAGCTGGTTCCAAGACATCCCTACAGCTGCCTCAACATAAAATGGGCTCTCTTGAAGCATATGTCTAGCTGGATAACTCTAGCCATGTAAGGGCTGCTGTAAAGAGTATCAGTACCATTAGCAGTTAAAGAGCTAGGGTAAAGTTTTCTCCACTAAGAGGGATTGGAATTAATAATGTTCTGAGATAGCACTGTTTCCTCCCCTTCTCTCTTAAATTTGAAAGTCTGTTTAAATGCTGTCTTGTTAATGTCTAATATTTAAAAATCCCAATCTCAGAAGAAACAAGAATAAGAGATTTTGGCTCATTGCTGAAACAAACTAAAAATCTACGGAAGAGCTAAATGCTTGTAAAGACTGATAGAAAGTCAAGCCGAGTACTGTGGTATTATTTCACAGCTGAGGGGGGAAGGGGGAAAACACTTAATTGGCAGAGTAAGCTCATTTATGGGGTTGGGGAGGGGAGGCACGGTCTGTCACTGGAAGAGTCTTGAATCCTTTCTCCACATCCAGGGGAGTACCAAAATGCCTAGCGGTCCCTAGGGATGTAGGCCCTTGAGGAGGTTGATCCATTCAGAAGGGGGCTGCTTAATTCTCTAGAAACCCAAGTCCTTCCCCCCCCCCACTTTTAGTATAAGGGAGGGAGGATTTACTGAGGGTACTACCATAAATTATGAAGATGTATAGGCCTCTGAGGATATGGGGCTCTCAATGGAGGAAAGGAGGGCTTTTCTTCATGGTTTATGAGCATGAGTCCTTTGAATTTTTCTGTCAGGTGAAATAAACCCTGTCCTATATTTGATATTTTGTTAGCCTGAGTGCCTGTATGGAAGCTGAGAGACATTTTCTTTTTTGTTGCAAGGAGTCAAAATCTGGTATCCCCAGAGCACAAGCAGGGTGAAAGCATGAGCCCAGCAGTATGATTACACAAGGATTTCTATGATTGAACTTTGTCCATGTAAACCCAGAGCAGACAATCCTTGGAAGTAATCAAAGCCATCTTTATAAAATATATTCTCCTTTCTGGGCTTTTCACTTCCAATATGGCAACGTTCTGAGAAAATGCTAAGTAAAAATACTTTTTCTGTATTGTCTGCTGGCCTTTGCATGTCATCTGTGGCTTCCACAAAACTCCCCAAAATTCCCATTTAATTTCTTCCAATATGGCAACGTTGTCTGTTCTGAGAAAATCAAGTATCTGACCAAACTTGTAGAAACAATTACTTGGCAACTTTCTGATAGTATTCCTTTATTAAATTATCTCACTGTGAAGGAAAATGGATCACCTCTGGAATGGAATGTGGCTGCTTCAATTGTATTCATTGTCTTATTGTAGGAAGAGATACTTTGAAAGAGCAGCATGGAATTTCTGGCCTGATTATTTCCCTCCCTTCCTCCCTCTTTCCCTCTCTTTTTCCTTCCTTCCCTCCCTCTACCCCTCTTTCCCTCTCTCCCTGCATACCTCCTTTCCTCTCTCTTGCCTTTCCTTCCCCTTTTTCCTCTTTCCTTCCCTTCTTTCCTGTTCTCAAGGATCTTATGGTCCAATACGGAAGACATACCATGCATGTGATACCCTCTCCTTCTGCCTTCTAGCTTCAATCTGTTTTGCATTTTCCTATTAGAATAGAAACACTTTGAGAGTAGGGACCATCTTGTTTGCTTGGGTTTGTAATCCCAAAACTTAGCACAAATCTTGGCACACATTAAGCCTTTAAATGTTTTATTTCACTATCTATACAAATAACTACAACATGAAGTAGAATGCATTAAATAAATAAGGGAAAGACAAAAAAATTGTGGGAGAGTTCTGGGGAGGGAGCATTCGCTTTGTGTGGAGGGTCACGTATTAATTCACATGGCACTTCAATGTTTATGGGTTTCTCACAGTCACTTGTGGTCAAAAGCTACAAGTATTACTTACCCCTACTTTACAGATCATCCTCTATCACAGGATTTAAAGTCAGAAAGGATATCTAGTACAGCCTTTTTATTTTACGAGTGAGGAAATGGATACCCCCAGAAGGTGAATGACTCATCAAGGTCACATGCTGTGTATCTGTGTTAAAATTTGAACTGAGGTCTCCTGATACTACATTCAGAAATCAGTTCACTCTAACACTACACTGTTGTAACTATGGGCAGTGATGACACTTTACCTAATAATAACAAAAACTAGAACTTATGTAGATTTTAAAGGTTTGTAAAGGGCTTTACAAATATTTCATTTTATCCTCACAACAATCTTGGGAAGCAGGTGCTATTATTATTATCCTCATTTTACAGATGAGGAAACTGAGATAGTCACAGGTTAAGTAACATGCCATGGTGTTTGAGGCTGGATTTGAACTCAAGTCTCCTTCACTTCAGGTTCAGGGCTCTCTCCACTGCACTAGAATTTCTAGTTCTAGTGGTAGGACCACCTGGATGGCAGGAATGTGGTGATACTGTCAGTCACACCCTAGGGGCTTACAGGCACCAACAAACAAACCCTGGTAACACAAAGCAGTTGGCAGAGGTGAATCTTCCTTTGGAAATAGTTATTCCTTCCACGTTGTGACTTTCCCCATTGCAGTTTTGATATTTTGCAGGTTGGCATAAGAAATTAAATGCGAATTTTGGGGAGTTTTGTGGAAGCCACAGATGACATGCAAAGGCCAGCAGACAATACAGAAAAAGTATTTTTACTTAGCATTGACCTATATATAGCCTATGACCAAATACTTAACCCAAATTTTATAATAAGGTACTGTAAACACCCCATAAAACAAAAAGACAAAATTTAGACTCCTCTGGTATGAAGGGAGAGCCAAAAAACTTAATGCAGATTTTCCAGATTTGGAGGAGGGGATGGTACCACACCCTTAATCTGGCCAAGTGGAAGGGAGAAGTGTAACATGAACCACCCAGTAGACAATGATGTTGGTGATTCAAAAGAGAAGTTTCTCCAAAATCCCTAGCTTGTGGAGGAGAGATATTCAGATAAAATCTTAGGTCTGCAAACATCAAAAGCAGAATTACAGGTGTGTGCTTTGTCCTCTCTGGTCCCTTTTCTTCATGTGTATAATGGAGGGATTTGACTACGATATTTCAAGCCACTTCAAGCTATGGATCTATAATCCTATGAAACCTAGGCAACACGCATTCCCTCTTGTCTAGGCTTAAATTTTCTCATCTGTACAATGAAGGGATTGTACTAGATTAACTCCCTTCTAACTCTAGGATTCCATAGTTTGAGCAGAGACTTTAAGTATGACTACCTGGGGAATGTGGGGTAGGGGAGAGATAGGAGTAAGTTGGACAAAACAAAAAAAAAAGGAAAAAGAAAAGAGCATTATTTCAGCATTTAAAAAATGCATAGAAGATGCAAGAAAAGCCCAGAAAGAATCATATACAGGCAGAACAGTTTTGAAAGTTACCATATTTAAAAATAAAGAAGCTCTACATAAAAGATATTTACAGTTTTGTGTACAATTGTTTTTATCTGTTCTACTATGGTATATGGAAATGCTCTTTTTATTTGGTGTTTGTTAAGTTTGGAATAAATAAAAGAGACTGCATTATTATTATTATTATTATTATTA